TATTATTAAAATAATATAGTCATATTGAGGAACCTCTGGTGGCCTAGTGGCAAGAAGCTGCACTGCAATACCGAAAGCACTTGGTTCAAGGCCACAGGAGAAGGATGGGCAATCTCCTTCCATGTGATTGCTGTCTCTGAAAAGCCACTGGAGGGTCGGCTGTGGGTCAGTTCTGACTCTACGGTACTCAACAACAACAACAACAGCCGTAGTAACTGGTCTTCCTTGTAGACACATGAATATTATCCTACCATTGACCATGCAATTCAGATAGATCTTGAAATGTTCTTTTTGACCATGAATATATCATTTCTCTGCAATTTGTCATTCCCAGCATGGGAGACCATGTGCTTGTCCGATTCAAAGTGGCTCGTACTAGTGCATCTCAGCTCACTGATGCCCACCATACAGATGTTTCTTGTCCCATTTAATTTTTTATCACCTTCTGTTTTCTCGGAGTCATACTTGGTGCGTTTTCTGTTCTGATTGTCAGTGAATGTTTGCAGCTCTTCCCATTTTGAGTTATGTTGTATCAGTCAGTGAAGATTCTGGGAGCATTATTCCTCTCATGCCGCTAAGGTTGACTCTACTTTGAAGGGGCAAATCTTCCCCAGTTGTATTTTGAGTGACTTCCAACCAGACTCTCATCTTCTAAATCTGTATCAGGTAATGTTCCGCTATGATTTGTCAGGTGTTTGCGAGCCTATTTCTGCCTGCCTTCCCTTAAGTGGATTATCAATTCCTTTTTCCTAGTCTGTTTTAGTTGTTAGGTCCGATCAATCCAGGCTACCATGGGTGGACTTGCTGAAATATTTGAGGTACCAATGGCATCGCTCTTAGCATCACAGCAACATGCAAGATAAACTGGCAGATACGTGGAGAAGTAGGCAGGGCTTAGTAGTAGTAGAGTTACAACTGACCATGGCTGACACTCCAACAGGTTTTGGAGGTGGTAAATCACACAGGAGGGATTATCCATCTTTTTCCTGCTGAATAACTGGTGGATTCGAACCTGGTGACTTTGGGTTGCCAGAGCAATTCCTTATCACTAATCCACCCGGTGCTCACAGCAGGCAGAGAGTGGGTTAGAATTTAGAACTGAGAAACCAGGAGGGGTGGAGGTCCAGGAGGGTAGGTTTGATCGTAGCAGCCTGGCTCTAGGTACCTGTCTCCTCCTTGTCCCCTTCTCCTCCCAGCTTGCCCTCCCCCTCTAGCTCCATCTAAGGACGGTGGCAGGGAGGGTCACCCTCAGCCTGGAGTCTGGCTCAAGACCTAAGTGCAATGTCAGGGGCAGGTGGTGGAGAGGCGCCTGGCAGGGGACGGGAAGTGTTCTGATATAGTCTCTCCTCCACCCTGGGGCTTGTCCCCTCTTGTGCTCCAACAGTTTGCCTTTCTTAGAAAAGCAGAAACCGTGGCGGGGAACTGAGCCCCAGCTCAGCAGCTTAGGAACTTGTTAGACCTGTCTGTGCTCTGCAGAACCAGGCCAGAGTGGAGGCTGGAGGGAGTGGGGGTGGTCCATGCCCGCATGCCTGGTGGCCCTGGCAGCCCTGCTCTGTGACAGCCTGGCCTGCTTACCCTGCAGGACACAGGGGTGACTGAGGGTCAGGACTAGGGGGCTCCATGCCTGGTGGGAAGAGGGGGCCAGACCATGAGTTTGCGCATCTCCTCTGTCCTTCAGTCTCTCCTCTACTCCAAGGTCAGAGAGGACCAATAACACCCGCCCCATCCCAGCAGGCTGTGGATGGGCGCTGTGGGGCAGGGTGTGTGTGTGTGTGTGTGTGTGTGTGTGTGTGTAAGACTGGCCTCGCTCAGGGTAGTGGCCTGGTTCCATCAGCAAAGGG